GTCACATGGCTGTACTGGTTGGTGGTTTCACCAAGCTGCTGCAATATTTCACAACTATTTGTAATGTAATGTAATATTTTATTCTAAACTTGCAGAACGATCTGGATTCGTACCTGTGCAAATGCAGTCGGAGCCTATGGATACATCTGGTGGGGGTGGAAGTGTTCCAAGTACACCAACTAAATAACCACATCCAGTATATTACTGCTAATTAACAGAAAAAATTCTCTTTTTGATGTGTTTTTAATGATATGATTTGCAACATTTTATTTGTTCATGAATTGTACCATTTGTATTAGGAATACCCTACACTGGTTGTAGTTAAACCATACACCGATGGCGTATTACATCCATTTTCAGTTTTCACTGATACTTGCAAATGATAATTCCTTCATTTTAGTTGAGGTTTGTGTTCATGCAGTATCCTATTACTTATACAATGATTACTGTCATGTCAAATTTTATTGGAATAGTATCCAACACTTTGAAGTTAACATATTTGCATGAAGGTTAAAGGTCAAGGTCTTTCCTATTTGCATAGCAATAAATTTATTCAACAGGTATTCAATACTAAGAGGGTCTTTGTCGCTATTAGTGGTCCATGTATAGTAGACACTTAACTACAGACAACAGAAATGGAGTATAATAATGAATGAACTTAAGTACTGGGAATATTCAGAAAGAATTGCTGTATATATATATATATATATATCTATATTTGGAGAGTGCAATCTAGTTATCACATAGTGCTATGAAGTAAAATGATAGATGTTACACGGCTACATTGTACAGTGCAAGATCACACAGTGCATTAATCCTGTATTACCCAATGCAGTGCTGTTTGTATGTATAGTGTGGTATTGCACTGTGCTGTTTTGCGCAATGCAGTAATACATGGTGCTTTATTACACAATACAGTATTGCAGTGCTATATAATGCGGTATTGCACTCTGCTGTATTGTACAATGCAGTAATACATGGTGCTTTATTACACAATACAGTATTGCAGTGCTGTATAATGCGGTATTGCACTCTGCTGTATTGTACAATGCAGTAATACATGGTGCTTTATTACACAATACAGTATTGCAGTGCTGTATAATGCGGTATTGCACTCTGCTGTATTGTACAATGCAGTAATACATGGTGCTTTATTACACAATACAGTATTGCAGTGCTGTATAATGCGGTATTGCACTGTGCTGTATTGTGCAATGCAGTATTGGGGTTCTGTATATGTAATACATAATATTGCACTGTGCTGTATTACACAATATAGTATTTCAGTGCTGTATAATGCAGTATTGTGCTGTATTGTATTGTGCAATGCAGTAATACATGGTGCTGTATTGTGCAATGCAGTATTGGGGTTCTGTATGTGTAATACATTATATTGCACAGTGCTGTATTGCAAAATGCATTATTTGACCATGATGTATTATTCAATACAGTGTTATAAATTGTATTTATTGCACAGTGCTGTATTGCACAGTGCTGTATTGCACAGTGCTGTATTACATAATGCAGTATAGCACAGTGCTGTATTACATAATGCAGTATAGCACAGTGCTGTATTACATAATGCTGTATTACATAATGCAGTATTGCACAGTGCTGTATTACATAATGCAGTATAGCACAGTGCTGTATTACATAATGCAGTATTGCACAGTGCTGTATTACATAATGCAGTATTGCACAGTGCTGTATTACATAATGCAGTATAGCACAGTGCTGTATTACATAATGCAGTATAGCACAGTGCTGTATTACATAATGCAGTATAGCA